TGAGACCTTGGAGCCCCAGCCCTGGCGTAGGGGAGGGCCGGAGGAGCCTGGGTCAGCCCGGCTGGCCTCCTGCACGGGCGGGGGACACCCTGGTCCAGGGCAGGACTTCCAGGCCAGATGTTCTCGATCTGCCCCCTCCTGCTTTCCAGACCTCTTGGTGACACTGGGGGGCCCTCCCTGGGAGGAAGGCTGGCAGGCCCAGTGCTGGGGACCAGGGACATTCCGGCCACAGGCAGCGCTGATTTGTATCCAAAAAGCCTGATGGGCCCCTAGGCAGGTTCGCGGTGGGGGGACCGTGGAGTGGTGGGGTGGGGTCTGCAGACCCTTTAACCGGTAGATTGAACGGCAACTAACAGATCTGGTCAAGGCTGATGGCCTGAGCTGGAACAAAATGGGGGGTGCCTGTCCAGACAGGGCAGAGCTGGCAGTGTCTGGAGCCTTGAAGCAGAGGGAGGAAACCAGAGCGGGAGTGGGGGGCGGGTGGAGAAAGAAGGGAAAGGTGCCCGCCCACGAGGCCCTTCCTGCGGGACTTCTCAGAGCCTTCATCCCCTGCCGAGCAGCGTGACGCCCAAGGGGGTGGCCGCGCTGCACAGGGGTTCCCAAACTGACCCCCTCGCCAGGGCTGTCGGGAAATAGTGCTGGGAGCCTGGGCTTGTGCAGACGACACGCTCGGGCCCCATCGGGCAGGCCAGGCTGGCAGCCCCGCTAGGCACAGCTTTGCCCCGTCCGTCACCCCCCTTCTCTGAGCCTCCTGCGCTTCTGCCTGGGTGCCCTCACCCTGAATCTCTGCTCCACCCCGGGGTCCTCCAGTCCTGCTCCCTTCAAGGCCAGGGGCAGCCGTGTCTGAACTCTCAACCCCAAGCTGGGGGCTGGTGACTCGGGGCACCCCAGGCCTCCACGGCCAGCTTAGCATCCCTGACTGCAGCCTCTGCTTCCACATAATGAAATGCGACAACAACGCCCGGGTCTGGGTGGTTGTGAGAACAGGGCCAGTGCTCAGTGAAGGGGGTCTGTCCTTGCAACCTGCTTTTTGAACAGAGAGATGGTGCTATCTCACCAAGGACACACAGTCACTGCAGGCAGGGCTGGGCTTCCTTTGGCCCTGGTCCCACTGGCTGGTGCCCCCACCAGCCCCTGCGTACTGTTAACAGGATGGGAGGGCTGGGCCCTATTACACTGGGTTCTTATAAATGGCATGAGGAGAATTAATAATGTATTTATAACACATCGTCGTGGTAGCCGAAAATGATCTATAAATGTGCGGTTAATGTTTTATAATGTTTTTGTAACCCGTTATAAATGATAAATGGCAGACTATAGATGCTGGATCAAATATTTATAATGCATTGTGTGCAATGTTGGGCTGCTACAGTTCGGGAAAGCCATTAATAATAAAGTGGATGGAAATGTAAAAGTTACCGACATGCCCAGCAAAGCCATTTATAATGAAATGTAAAATTCGGCTGTTGGAAGCAAACCACGAGTCCCAGCCGAAGCACCGGCCGGGTTCCCCCAGATCCCGGGGAAGGAGCGGGTTGTGAATTATTCCTGAGGTGTTCGGACGAGAATGTATACTATCCATAGCACGCCGTATAAATATGCTATTAATATACCCAAGGCAGCGTGCATTATTCATGGGGCCTAATTAATTAATAGGTGGCCCCTTAAAATGGGGCGTCACAGCTTCCAGCTCCCTCCTGCCTGGGGTGCTGGCATCCACAGCTGCCCATGTGGGCTATCGCGGAGCTGACCGTGGCCTTGGGAACCAGGGGAGGACGGGACATCCCTTGGATGCTCCGCTGTGAAGTCCATGTGACCCCCTGGTACCCCCGCAAGTGGCTCTGGCTCCCCTCGGGGTGCTCCGCTCAGCTGTTCCCCCCAAGCATCCGGCGGCCACAACCGCAGCTGCCCTCACTTCCATGGTCAGCCCCGGTGCTGCTGGGGACAAGCCGCCCGCCTTGCCCTGAAGCGCAGGAGGGGTCCGGTGGGGCCCCGAGCGTGTCGTCCGCACAGGCCTGGGCTCCCAGCGCTGCTTCCTGACAGCCCTGGCCAGGGGGTCAGTTTGGGAACCCCTGTGCAGCGCGGCCACCCCCTTGGGCGTCACGCTGCTCGGCAGGGATGAAGGCTCTGAGAAGTCCCGCAGGAAGGGCCTCGTGGGCGGGCACCTTTCCCTTCTTTCTCCACCTGCCCCCCACTCCCGCCCAGCCTGTCCTCCCCAGAGCCTTCCAAACAGGACACTTCTCCCGGGAGGGAGGGGCTGGCAATCCCTGGGGAGCCCCCCGCCATACCCTTCGTGGCCAAGACGCCTGAAATAACCCCACCTCAGCCCAGCCAGACCGAACTGCATCAGTTTTCAGTTGCTCTGAGGGAGGAAAAGAGAGGGAGCATCCTGGCCCAGGACTCCGGGGCAGCTCTACTTCGTGTGACCTGAACAACTAACTGGGCTTCGGGGCCTCATCTGCAAAGTGGGGCCATGAGCCGGCCCTCCCCGGGTGAAGGTGGGGCCCTGCTGCTGGGAATCTCCGTGAGGACACCTGGGCCCTGGGACCCCGCCGCCCACGCCCTTCTGGCCCTCTGCCTGGCCATCTGCAGGTCAGGGTCCACCCCTTGCCAGGACCGAAAATGAAACCAGGAAGCGTTTGTTAAAGAGGCTATAAGGAAACAGGTGAACTCGTCGCCATGGCAACGGTGCATCTGGCCCCACCCCTCGGCGTCTGGTGAGGACAGCCGGGTCCCCTGCGCCCTCCGACAGCCCTCCCTGGGCAGTGAGGGGGCTGCGGGCTGGCGGGACTCCTCAGCTCGCCGCCTCCCTCTGCTGTCGGGGGGCACTGAGGCCCAGGGAGGGTGCGGGGCTCACACGTCTGGACTGGGACTGGAGCTGGGGGGCTCCACCCCACCCCCGCTGGGCCCTGTGGGTCCAGCCGGGCTTCTGGACCTTGGACACCCCCTGGGCAGCTGAGCCCACCCTGCTCTGTGGGGAGAGGCCCCGAGTTTCCGCCTTGTAGGGAGCTGTGACTCGGGCTGCCCGCCGCATGGCTGTGCACACACAGGCGCCCATCATTGCTCCCCCGAGGGGCTCAGTCGGCGTCCCCGCGCCCCCGCTCGCCCCACACGTGCACACTCTGCCCCTGCCCCCCTCCGCTGGGCCCTGTCTAAGATGGAGCTGGCCGAGGGCACTCACGGGGACAGGGGCCAAGCCAGGAGGCCACCCGCACCCCCGCTCTGCCCTCCCCTGCACATGGCCACGTGCTCCCCAAGCCAGCCCCGAGGGCCCCGCAGCCCCCACCCGCCAGGCAACGCTACAGCACCCAGGCTGGTGAACGCGGGGGCCATGGACACCGCCAAGCCCCAGCCACCCGCCCGCAGCCCCGCCTCTGCCCCTGTGGGTAGGGGCAGGCAGCACCCCTCCCCCAGGGCCCGGCTGCGCCTCCCCCCAGCCTCGGCCCCGACGTTGGGACTGGGCAGCAAGGAGCCCCAGGCTCCCCAGAGCCTGCCTGCCAGCTTGGCCTGTCCTCAGCCCATGCTGGGGTGAAACGCCCCAGCCCCCATCCTCCCAAACCCCAGGGCACCTGTGTTCCAGGCCACCCTGGCCCGGGGTGAGGCCTGCGGGTGTCCCCACGGCCACAACCCAGGCTCAGATGGGGGGCTGCGGCACTGTGGAGGTGCCTTGGGGCCCCTACAGGGCGCCCGGGCGGGGAGGGGACTCTTCAGGTCCACACCCGTCTCTGCAGGGGCAGCAGCAGGGCTCCAGCCCCCAGGAGGGGCATCCATCCCACGTGCCTGGGGCAGGAGCCACACAGACAGGACGGGAGGGGTTCCCGGGACTCCACCACGGAGTGGGTGGGACCTGGACACCAAGGGGCCGTCTCACGGGCAGCTGTGTGGCTGACCCATGAGGGGCACGGGGAGCAGGGAGGCTGGGTGTGGGCGCAGGGGTGGCAGGGGGCCTGGTGAGGCCGCTCCACAACGGACAAGGCCCTGGCTGCCGCGGGGCGGGGAGCAAGGCCCTGTCCCTGGCGGGCTGGAGGCACTGCCCGCCCCCGCGGGCCTGTTCGCCTCACCCAGGCAGGCCTCACTGGCCTGGGCCCGGCAGGGCCTCAGCGCCCCCTAGTGGACCCGGGTGAGCAGGAGCCCGGTGACCCTGCTGGGGGGCGGCAGTGATGAACCCAGGGGGCAGCAGGAGGGAAGATGGAGGCGCCCTGTGTGCGGGGAACACCCCGCTGCTATGAGCGCTGATGGGGCGGGACAGTGTCACCCTGCGAGAGGGACACTGGCCTGGAGAAACCAGTGCCGCCTGGGGGCCCGGGCTCTCACTGGACATGGCCCTCCCCCGCCCTCGGCGCCCCAGGCCAGATTCTCAGGCAGACCATCCTCCAGCACTGTGGCTCCATGGGGCTGCAAGCCACCCCCACCCCCAGTGGACAGATGGGGCTGGCCGTCCCCCTGCAGCTGGAACACAGAGGCTTCTGAGAGAGAAGCCTGCAGCCTCAGGCCCCAGGCCCTGTGGTCTCTTCTGGGGATGGAGCGGGGACTGGTTTGCACCCCCAGCACGCCCCACTCCCCTGGGAGCCGATAAGGCCGGGCCCGTGGGCAGGGGGTGCCCGGGCACCGTCGTCTTTCTCCCCCCAGCGCTGCCAGAAAGGAGAATCAGCTGGAGGGCCAGGACCGTGCCCAGGCCGGGGGGGCCTCCTGTCTCCAGTCGGACACCCCCCCATACCCCCCAGGGGCAGGCAGGCTGGGTCTAGGGGCCAGGCTCCTGGCTCCCACTCACTCCCCCCTCCCCTCCCCTCCTAGGTCTCCAGAAACCACACAGGCAGCAGGATCAGGGAATTCAGCACGTTTCATTTGAACCCGCAGGATGTCAGCACCCCTCCCCCTAGCTGCAACCCCAGCAGCCGCAGGCGGGACAGCCTCTGGGGCGGGCGGCCCCCCACTGCCAGCAGGGCCCGGGTGTGGGCTCCAAGTGCCCGCGGCCCGCCTTGGTGGTTCTGAAGCTCGGCTCACATCACGGCCTCCAAGTGCAGGATCCTCAGGGCCTCAGAGATCTGGGCGCTGGTGTCCATCTGGCCGTACATGCCCACCAGGAAGGCTCGGTGCAGTAACACGGCCGCGTGCTCTGCGGACAGATGAGGGCCTGTCAGCTCCGCCCCCGCGCCCCGGCCGCTCTCGCTCCGGGCCAGAGGACTGAGGCCCCCAGGGGCAGCAGACGGACCTTGGCAGAGGAGGGTGTACTCGGGCAGGTTCCTCAGGGCCGTCTGCACCACCTCGAAGTCGCGGCTGCCCAGGCAATACATGAATGTGGGCAGGAAGTCGGCTGCGATGCTGAAAAAGCCACATGTCAAGGGCAGCCTCGGCCCTCCATCCCTAACCCAAGCCAGGACAGCTGAGGCCCCGAGGCCCCCCACAGCCCCGGTCCCAGGCAGGGACGCTGGCTCACCCAGGGTTGTTTTGGATGGAGCGCAGGGCCAGGCTGAAGGCCAGGCTGCGGCAGGACTCCTCAGCCGAGCTCATGAGCCGCTGCAGGCTGGTCTGTGGGAGGACGCACATCAGCAGGCCACCTCCCGTCGGGGCTCCCCCCTCAGCAAGCGCAGCCGAGGACCCCACTCCCCCAGCCCCGCTCCGCCTTGCTGGGCTGCCTCTGTTCCAGGCTGGCCGGCGAGGCACCCTGCCCCCGCAGGAAGGGGGGTGGGGGTGGCCGTGCCTCCCGTCCCAGCCCCCTGGGGCCCGTGGCCGCTCCTCACCGAGAAGAAGCCCAGGATCTCCGGTCTCCGCCGGGACATCTCGTCCACGTCGCTCAGGACCTCCAGCAGATCTAGGTCGGGCAGAGGGCGTGTGTGATGGAGCTGTGTACCCCCTACCCCAGCAACCTGGAGGCGGGAGGTGGAGTCCAGGGCCGGCCCACTGCCCTCTGCACACCGGCTGGGCAGGGATCCCAGCCTGGCCGAGGCCCCAGGGTCCCAGATGCAGCACAGCTGCTCAGAACAAGGCACCCGAGTCTCCTGGGCCCCTCCACACTGCCTCAGCGCTCGCTCAGGCCAGGGAGCCCCCAGTACCTCCGGATGCCAAACACTGGGGTTCTGCTGCCTTCCCAACTCCACCGTGACGGCGCCTCTGGTTTGGGATCGACCAGGAGGTGCCCGCTCCCCCAAGACCCTCCTCCAGGTCTGCAGGGCCTGGGATCTGCGTGTGCACCACATCCCTGGGTGTCTGTTCCTGGCCACCTCAGAGTCCCGCTGCAGACTCACCGCCCTGCCCTCCCCCAGGGGCCACCCGGGCTCAGCTCCCCCGGAGGGGACCAGGGGCCACCGGCCAGCTCCTCCCTTCCTTGGTGCCCACAGGGACTCCAAGGGATTCCCCAAGAACACCGGCCAGCAGAGCAGCCCCCACTCTGGTCTCCAGCTTCCTCCTCCAATCCCCTCTCTATGGCCCCTCCCCCACTGTGAGCAAAGACCCAGCCCTCCCAGGGGCCCTGCAGTCTCCTGGATGCCCCCCAGGAGAAGCTGCAGGGCTGCTTTGGGACCCAGGACCGCGGGGACAGAACGGGAGACCACCCCCACCACAGGGGTGCTCGGCCTGGAGGAGCCACACCCCCTAACTCACCCTCGACCGTCTGGCCCCTGGACAGCCTCTTCATGTAGGGAGCCATCTCGGCTGCGGTCAGAGGGGTGAAGATGCAGACACCGACCAAAGGCAGGGGGCCGGCAGAGCTCTCGTCTGCAGGACAGGAAGCCAGGGCCAGTCAGGGGCGGGGGCAGGATGGCCCGCCCCCGGCCGCCGGCCGCCGAGGGCCTGTGCGGCCCAGACACACTCAACGCCGCGGCCACAGGACCCCGGCGTGGAGGGAAGGGGTGTACCTGCTGAGCAGCATCTAGACCCACAGCAGACCCCCGAAGACGCGGCCCTGCCCAGGCGGGGCAGAGCGCCTACACGCAGCGGGCGCTCAGAGTGTGAGGAGCCCAGAGGCCTGCAGGGGGCGCCTGTGAGGCTCGCGCTTCTCCCAGAGCCCTGCACCCCCCGCTGCCGCCGCGCACACAGCAGGCACTCAATAAAGGCACCGCTGTGCACAGCACCGTGCCAGACGTGTCGGCGGACGGCTGAGAGTCACACTCAGCAAAGACAACTGGGCCAAACCGGGGCAGGATGGCCGTGAAGGGCCAGCATCAGAGCGGTCCCTGGTTCTCAGCCTGTTCACGAACCCACCACTCTCCGGACACGCTGCTGCAGGTGCCGGGTTGCCACCGGGGCAGTGGGGGCTGCGGAACGGGGGCAGGAACGTGGATGCAGCCAGGCAGGGGGACAGAGGACCCGACTGGTCCCAGAGGGCAGGTGCTGGAGGTCATGCGGGCCACGGCACCACCTGGGGCTGCGTGCGCATCACAGAGCCGGGGCCACGGACACCCCAGGGCCACCCAGGGCAGTCCAACCCACCCCCTACCCAGAAGTCCAGCCCCACTCACCCTCACCCTCCTCGTCCAGGACCCGGTCAGCCCCACCGTCCCTGCTGGGAAGGCTGAGACCTGCCAGGAGTGACTTAAGCATCACCAGGTCGCTGCTGTCAAGGGACAGGTCACTAGGGGGACAAAAGGCGGGCGGGACAAGGCTCTGCGTGAGGACCACACGGGGGGCGGGGGGCAAGGCTGTGCCTGAGAAGCATGGGGGTGGGGGGCCCGGGGGGCCGGGGAGGAGGGAGTCAGCTCAGGACAGCCCTGGAGCAGACCCAGCGTCTGTGACCCGGGCACCACGACCCTTAGAGCTCGCAGCCCTGAGCCCCGCCACGCTGCGCCCTGACCGAGACAGCCCGGACGGGGGCGCACTCACTGGAGCACGTTCAGGTGCTTCTGCAAGAAGGCGACGGCGGCCGCGGGGCTGCAGCTGATGTACTTGTGCGTGAACCGCACGAACTTGCTGGCGAAGGGCACCAGGTGGCGGGAGGACTTCCGATAGTTCTGCAAAGGGCATCGCGAGGCAGCGCTCAGAGCCGGGTCTGCCAGAGACAGAGGCCGTGTCCCCGGTCCCGCTCGCACCCCTCCCGGAGCCTGACAACACAGGCTGGACACCCCCAGGCGCCGCCTTCTGCTGGGTCCCTAAGGCTCAGGAGTGGTCGAGGCCCACACCCTGCAGGGGCTCCCCAGGCTGGGGGGCAGCTGGGGGGGGCCTGGCCCTGCCCCGCCCCCCTGCGGCCCAGGGCTCTGCTCTCCTGCAGGGCTCCCTGGAGCCGCGTCTGCCCTCACCTAGCGGCCTCTGGGGACAGACCCCCAGTACTGGTCAGGAGGACCGAGCCTGCCGGAATTGTGGAAGCAGGACAAACCGACTGGGGAGAGAATTCAGAATGGGGGGGCGGGGCATGGCGGCGGGGGTGGGAAGCCGGGAGGTGGGGCGGGGCGGGGCGTGGGGGCGGGAAGCCGGGAGGTGGGGCGGGGCGTGGGGGCGGGGCGTGGGGAGGGGCGGGGCGGGCACCCACCCGCAGCAGGCGTACGAAGGAGAGCAGGCAGTCCCACAGCGCCCCCTGGTGCTCGCTCTGGAACACCTGCGGCTGCAGCAGCTCCAAGACCCCCAGCACGTGCATGAAGAAGGTCAGGTGGTTCTGCTGGCGGAACTCCTGGAAGTTGAGGTGAGTGCGGCCGTGCAGGAGGGCAGCGATCATGGGCAGGTGCCTGCGGCCAAGCAAGAGCCGCCTGGTCGTGGGCGTCCTCCAGTCCCTCCTCTCAGAGACCTCATCCTCTGGGACCCAGACCACCAGCAGGCCACGGATGCCCGCTCGACTGACCCGCCCGGCCCCGCCCCCCAAGCTTGGCTTGTCAGCAAGCAGCCTCCGGCCCTGACCGACCTGAGGATGACCAGCGCGTAACCCTCGGCCACTTTCCCCCCGCAGAGCCCACTCTTGTAGGAACGCCAGGTGTGGGGCCTGCCCCTGGCTGGGGGTGGGGAGACACCAGGCCAGATGGTCAGGCGGTACCTCAGTAGCAGGAGGGGGTGGGCCACCGCCAGCTTCCGACAGGCCATGCTGGCATCAGCCACTCGACTCTCGGCCGCCCGGGAGTCACTGGTGTCCGCCAGGAGGGTGATGAAGCGGTGGATGAGGCCGTCCAGCTGAGAGGGGCAGGGAGTCAGGGCCAGGGCCCCTGCAACCTTCGCGCCCACCTGCCCACCCAGGCTCAGCCCTGAGACCCTGGCATGGTCCCTGAGGACCCACATGGTGTCCCAGAGAAACCTGCCCCCACCGCCTTCTGGGGCTTCGGAGGATCAAGCTGGCCGTAGCCGGAGCTCCTGGCCAACCTCAGCACACGGTGTGACGTCAGCCGCTCCCCGCAGACAGAAACCCTGAACTAACGCAGGTGAGAAAGACCAACCTCACAGGTAAAGCTTAACTTCAGGTGCGTGAAACACAGCACACACAAAGGGAAGGAAACATGGCTGGAGAAACGCCGCCCCCCCCTCGTCCTGAGAAGCAGCGCTGGAGGCAGAGCCGACTCAGGGAAGACGGGGCGGGGGCAGGGAGACCCGCTAGACCACACGCCCCCCGCACCACCGAAAGAAGGCGAAGGCAGACACTGCACACGGAGGACCCACACTAGGCAGGCAGGGGAGGCAGGCAGCCAGGAAGGGACACGCTGTCCACACACGCCCAGCACGGTGGCTCTGAAGCCACCACACCCACAGAGAGCCTGCTGACATGCAGGGACAGAGCAGGGGGCTGGGGCACAAGAGACATCACACACATGCAGCCTGCAGTTGTCAACAGTCCCCATCAGGGAAGAAGGGGGACATGGGGGGATGCCCACTCTGCTCTGCTCCACACCTGGAGGACTTCCTGGAGGAGGAAGGACCCTCCAAGAGGTCAGATAGGAACGGGTGGCAGGGCAGGCTCCACCCTCAGACACTATCCACTCAATGATTCCTTCTCGGCCTTTAGGTTTGAGAAAAAGCACTTCCCTACCTCCCGGTCTGGGGTCCTACTTCCAAGCAAAGGACCCAGGCGCCCCAGAAGCCCGTCGGGCCTCACCTTGCAGACGCTGCTGCCAGCGGCCCCTTGGCTATGCAGCAAGACGTCGGGCAGGGGCACGCGCAAGTCCGGCCGCTGCAGGTAGAGCTGTACCAGCAGGTCACGGCCGCACCTGCCCAGGACACTGCGGGAGAGCACATGCGGTTACCGTGTGGCCGGGGCACCCCCCCCCCGCCCCCACGGGGCCCTGAGCCGGGCGGGCCCTTACCTGTCGCCCCCCCGCCCCCCTCCACGGGGCCCTGAGCCGGGCGGGCCCTCACCTGTCACCCCGCCGCCCTCCTCCACGGGGCCCTGAGCCGGGCGGGCCCTCACCTGTCGCCCCCCCGCCCCTCTCCACGGGGCCCTGAGCCGGGCGGGCCCTCACCTGTCGCCCCACTGCTGGACGCAGCCCATCAAGTGTGCCGTCACCTTCCTGACGCCCTCGTCGCCACCGCGGCAGCAGCTGAGCAGCAGGGGCAGCCGTGCCTGGAGCAGCCCGCAGGCGCCCGCGTCCCCGTCTTGGCTGCGTGCTTCTGCCTCGGCCAGGATCAGCTCCACCAGCCCCACGAGCTCGGCCGGCTGCACCCGCAGCACCAGCTCCTCCCGCCGTTTCTGCAGTCGGACGCTGTCAGTCAGGCCGGCGTGGGACGGCCGTGCCCGGCCACCCCGCCCTCCAGGCAGGGGACACCCCAAACCTGCCTGTGGGGTGCGCTGGTCCCTGCCCTGCCAGATCCGAGGGACGTGGATGCAGGCCCAGAGGAAGTCAAGGGAGGCCGAGGGGTCAAACCTGGAGGAGGCGGGGAGGCCAGACCCAGCAGGAAGCATGACTCCAGGGGAGGGAGGCGGAGGAGATGGGCAAGATGCCCCACATGCTGGGACCCCGGCAGGCCGCGGAGGACGTGGGCCACCTGCCCGACCTCGTCCCAGCCCTGCCCCTACCCACCCCCTCACTCGCAGCCACGCAGCACAGACAACAGCCCTTCACTGTGACTGGAGCCCAGGGGACCGGCCACCCGGGCCAGAGAACCGCTCCTGAGGGGCTGGGGTGGTGCTGGGCCAGATCCCCCGGGCCAGGCTCCCAGACGAGCTCTGCACCAGGCGGCTCCACACGGCACCCTGGGGCCTCGCGATGCCCGTGGTGCCAGGGAAGGAGCCGGCCTGTGGGGGTGGGGGGCTCACCCTGGGGGAGGGCCGGTGGGGCGGGGGGGCTCACCCCAGGGGAGGGCCAGCGGGGCAGGGGGGCTCACCCCTGGGGGGAGGGGTGGCGGGGGGACTCACCTCTGTTCCCGGCCCCTGCCCAGCAGGATGCGGATACACTGGTGCAGGGTGGACCAGCTGGACTGGTGTGTGAGCAGGGCCAGTAGGTAGGGGCGGAAAGATGGCACCTGGGGGCCAGGGTGGCCTTTGCCCTGGGACGGAGGAAACCTGGGTTGGCCCCTGCCGGGCTGCCCAGCTCTGACGAGTGGGGTCAGTGGACGGTAGGCAGCCTGTGGGAGGCGGCACAGGGCAGAGAGAAGCCGCCGCTTCGGGGCAGGGCCTCCCAGGCTGGTGGATCACTCCGCAGGTTAAACGTGGGCTGAACTGAACCCACTTCTCAGAAACAGGGACACGCGAGCAGCGCTGTGGGCGCAGGAAGCTGACCCACACCCTGGGAAGCGCAGACCCACCAGCATGGGGCAGGGACGGGGTGGGGCCACACAGCCCCTCCCCAGCCTCCCGGTCAGTTTCTTCATCTTCCCAGGGCCAGAGGGGCCCTGACGTGGGCTCTGGCCTCGCCCCTCCTCAGGGGAGCAAGCCTCCACTCTCCCTCCAGCACCCTGTGAGGACCTGGGCCCACAGGGACCAACTCTGCCCCTGCCGTCCCGCCTCTGTGACCAGATCTGGCAGGTCGTGGCGACTGGCTCGGCACACTGGGGACCTGTCCGGCCAATGAGACTCCAGCCTGGGGCCTGCCAGAACAGACGGGAAGAGCACGCGCCAGGCCCGGAGAGGCCCACCTTGCCCCGGGAGAAGAGCAGCCTCTGCTGAAGGTCGGGGCAGCTGCCGACCATCTCAGGGTCCAGCATCTCCAGCCAGTCGACGAGCAGCCCCGAGCAGGGCCCCAGGCGCACGGCCTCCTGGCTGCAAGGAAGCGGGGACGGTCAGACACAGCCGCCTGGGGCTGACCCCAGGCCCGGCCGCAGCTCCGCCGGCTCACCTGCAGCTGTCGGCGTCCTGCTTCCCTGGGACCAGCGGCTCCTCCTTCTCCGGCAGCAGCAGCGAGCTGACCACCGCCACGGGCCCTGAGGCTGGGACGGCGGACGCGGTGGAGAAGAGCGCGGCCAGCAGCTCCTCCAAGTGAGGCGACCTCACCTCGATCAAACCCCGGAGGACTGCGGGGGCAGAGGGGGTGCCTGTCACACTGGCCCAGGGCACGCCCGACTCCAGCACACAGCCCCGCCCCCGGGGTTCTCTTTTCCTGGGGGCGCCCGGCAGAGGGACTCTGGAGCAGCAAGGGGTCTTCAATGGAGCCCACGGCCCAGGTACCTTTGCTGACGAGCTCGGGCTCCACGTCACACTGCTCCCCAGACTTGAGGGTGGCCACGATGGCACGCACGGTGGAGCTGACCGCTTCCGGGTCCCCGCGGAACGTCAGGGCCTCCGCCAGGTGCAGAAATCCGCTCCGCACTGCAGGGGAGCATGTGACCAGCTGGACTCCCGCCAGGGCCCCGGGCGTGACCCCCTCGGTTCCCACACACACCCTCCTCCCCGAGGGACCGTCCCTGGGTCCCGGCCCTGAAACCACTGGGCCATGCCCCCTGATGCCTCTGGGCCCCCCGGGAACAGGCCCCCCGACACAGCGGCAGAGCCCGGGAGCCCTGCCTCACCGTTGCTGATCCGGCGCCGCGCCGAGCACTGGGCAGCAAACAGTCTGAGCTGGGCCTGCAGGGGCCCAGCCTCCACAGAGGGACCGTCCAGCCACTGCAGGGCCTGTGCAAGCACTTTGAGGAAGAGCGACGAGAAGCCGGTGTCCTGGGGTGCGCAGCGCTGGGGGGGCAGGGTGTGGCTCAGACAGGGCCAGGGCCCCGGAACCCACCCGCCGCAGAGGTGCCGAGTGAGCGCCCCGCCCTCGGCCAGCGAGGGCCCGTGTGCAGCTCCTCCCAGTGACCCGGGGACACACGACGGGGGCGAGCACGCGGGCGAGGCGTCGCGGCCCACCCCAACCCACCTGGTACTGGCAGAGCTGGCGCATCAAGGGGCAGGTGAGGACATGGCCGCGGTGCATGGCCAGGGCCAGGGCCCCGCCATGTGGGGCGCTCAGCAGGGTGGCGAGGGCCTGCAGGAGGCGCACTGCAACGCCCGGCACCTCGGGGCTCCCCTGGCGGACGTGCGCCAGCTCCCGGCCCAGGGCCTGCTGCAGCGCCAGGGCGGCAGGGCGCGCGCTGGAGCTCTGCCACCGCGGGCCCGGGCTCAGTGGGAAGATCTGCGCAGAGAAGGGGGGCCATCAGGCCAGCAGCGGTCACCCTGACCCACCACACTCTCCAGGCAGGCGTGCGGAGGGGGCTGTGGCCTGGGGACAGGGCCCAGGGCGACAGGCCTGGGAGAGTGCACGTGGAACTGTGCACACACGTGCGTGTGCACGAGTGTCAGCCAGGAAACGGCACGTGTGCTCTGCAGCATCCATCACGGGGCCCAGGGAGCCCAGGCCACGGGCCCGGGTGGCAGGGCAGGAGGGGGGGCGGGGGGGCACCCGTACCTGCAGGAGCAAGCCAGCCAGGTCGTCCTCCGGGCCCAGCACTCGCACCTGCGTCACGGCGCGGGTCCTGCCCTGGCCCAGCGGCTGCTCCGGGCTGCTTTTGGGTTTCGGCGCCTCTGCGCTGTCTACAGGGAGGAAGGAGCAGCGTTAGTGAGAAGCCCTCCCACCTGCTTCACAGGGACGCTGCCAACCAAAGCCAGCCACCCACGGAGAAGCAGCTCACGGGCCCTCCTGAGAGCTCTCCAGGGACCCCAGCCTCGCCGTGGCTCCCGAGGCCTATGAGGTACAGAGCCCGCTAACAGGAGCGGCACAGGGGGAAGACGCAGCCTGGGTGGCTGTGCACGGGGACTCGGCGGGGGGGTGCAGGTACCTCGCCGGGCGGGCAGGGAGGCTGTGAGCAGGGAGTGGAAAGTCTGGCCTCCGGACGCCCCGCGCTCGTGCTGGACCTCCACCAGGTGCGCCATGTAGTCTGTGGGGACACCGCGGGGTCAGGGAAGAGGGCTCCTCCCCACGGCGCCCACAGAGCCCCACGCCTCCCCGGGACCGGCAAACGGGGTCTGAGGCGGCCGTCCGCTCAGAGCCCGGCCCGGGGCGCTCACTCTTGTCCATGATGTTCTGCTCCAGGGTCTGGGGGTCGTGGGCCACGGCCTGGTCCAGGTACTGCAGCAGCTTGCTCATGCTGGACACGGGGATGCCAAAGGACTGCACGAATAGCAGCAGCTGCTGTGGCTCCAGGTCCTGCAGGGCTGTGGGCAGCTCCCTCAGCGGCCAGCGGGCGGGCACAGCGTCAGAGGGCGGCCGCTGGGTCCTCCGGCCCCCACCCCGTGTCACACTCGCCCAAGTGTGTCCTCTGTGCTTCCCAAACCAACTCGCCCCCAACCTGCCTGCCCTCCCCAGCTGCTGGGCACCCTTCCTCCTCACTGCAGGCTGCCCAAGCCCACCCCACAGTCCAGACCACTGCCTCCCTCCCTCCTCCAGCACCCCGTTTTCTCCAAGGCCTCGTAAGGCCATTAAGAGCTTGCAAACGGGGTCAGCTCCCTGAAGGATCTAGACACAAGCTGAATAACGGATGCCCCAGAACTGCCAGAGGCCCCCGAGCTGCCCTCTGTCCTCGGCAACGGCCTGCAGCGAGGCCCAGTTCCCCTTGGGCCATACCAGCATTTCCCCCGGCCATCCCCCCCCACCCCGGGCAGTACCGGCATCCCCTCCTGGCCGTCCGCCCCCAGGCAGTACCAGCGTCCCCCTCCCCAGGCCGACCCCCGCCCCCGGGCCATCCCCCCACCACGGGCAGTACCAGCGCCCCTCCCACCCCGGGCAGTACCGGCATCCACCAGCCGTGGGACCTCTGAGCGGATCATACGCAGCTTCAGCCAGTCAGGCAGCAGCAGCGCCTCCTCCGACGTGTCCACCAGGAATGCCGTGGGCAGTGGCTTCTTCTCCGGGAACCAGATGTCCAGCAGCGCCTGGAACTCGCTGTCACCAGCTTCAAGAGAGACAGCAGGGTCAGCACTGGGGCCGCTCCAGGACCTCACGCTGAAGGCTCAGGCCAGCATGTCCCCAGCTTACAGGGGGAGCCAAGGCTGCTGAGGAACGGGGAGGGGGGAGTCTACCAAGACCGAGCACAATCAGCACCAGAGGCTTCGAGGGGTGGGCTTATCTAATCCTCACAACCGCCGTGTTCTCCCCTCTCAGTCAAGGAAACCCAAGTGCAGGGAGCCGGCCAGGCCCCCCAGGAGCCCAGGTGAGGCCGGGGCCAGCATGGGCTCCATGGGCTTGGCCGAACCAGCTCCTTCCCACCCTTGTCTCCACAAAGCCCCGGGCAGCCAGCAGGCCAGACCAGCATAAGGCCACCTCCCTGAACATAAGACGCAGAGTTACCCACACCATCAGCCTCACAGGAGGGACGGAGAGGCTGCCAGGTTGGGAGGTTTCAGGCGGCCAGAGGATCGGCCAGCTCTGGACACAGCCCCTGGCCGACACGTCAAGGGCCACGCCCAGGACTGTGGAGGGGACTGGGGACTTGGTGCTCTGGGCCCCTCGGCCCCTCGGTGGGCAGCTGTGTGGACATCTTCACCTCCAGAAACCCGGCAGGAGGAGGAGTAGTCCCAGATGTCCAGCAACACCCACGTGCATCTCAGGACAACGGGACAGCGCCTGGACCTCAGGGGTCCCGCCAGGGAGAGGTGCACGTGCTCCCCAGGAGGAGCGTCTGCCTCCATGGGAGACCCAGCCCACCCCCCCGCAACCTGCTCACCACGGGGCGGGCCCAGAGTCAGGAGGATGACCATGGCGTGGACCACGAGGATGTGCATGGTGGCCGTCTCCCCGCTGCTCCAGCGCAGGAAGACCTGGTCCTGCGACTCTGACTGCAGGAGAAGCAGGGGCTGAGCGGCAGAGGCGGGGCACGGGGCTGGGCGGGGCCTGGCAGGGCACTGCCCTCTTACCCAGCTGTAGACCTCCTCGCCTTCCTTGCTCTTGCGCATGCGCTGCACGTAGCGGGAGAAGATGGACAGCAGGGCCGCCAGCACCGCGTCGGACTCGGCGCTGCAGGAGCGCTTGGAGAAGAGGTGGGACATGATGGTGGAGCGCTCCACGATGAGCCGGGCCACGTCCTGGGGGACCGGGCGGTAGGGGGCGGGGTCAGCGGCTCGGGCTCTCCTCCCATCACACCGGACCAACGGCCCATCCCCGTCCAAGGCCACGCGACGCCGCACCCCATTCAGCACAGACACCCCGACGCCGGCCAGCACGCCGACAGAGGGGGCCCCACGTGCAGCCCCCTCAGACACACGGGCTGCGAACTGGAGAGGGCCGGCCCCGCGGGGAGGAGGGAGTGAAAGGAACACAGGCGTCTCGGGACCCACAGGGAAAAGCCGCCTGCCCATAGTCAGACACGCGTCTACTTGCGACCGGCAGCAGTGACGCAGGGCAGGCTGGCCCCTAGACCAGCCTCAGAAGCGTGAGGCCGCCGGCCCCTCGGCAAGCACCTAAGGTTGGACAGAATCCCCACTGTCCACCAACCTCGGCCCTGGGCCATTCCCTCCACTCACTCCCTCTACAGGGGCCTGGGGCCTTCAGGACCCCCGGGCTGCCAGCCGACAAACTCACAGAAGAGCAGCCAGGAGAAAGACAGCCACGAAAGAGCAGGCCACGGGAGAACACAGGCCCGGGCCCAGCTCACAGGGCCCCGCAGGAGCAGCATGCGTGGGCCTGGCCGCTCTGCCTCCCCGGCTGGCCAAACCCCGCCTCTACGGCCCAGAGCCAGAGATAAGCAGCCCTGGGTGACCGCAGACACGGGGGCCTCCTGCCCTCAACTCCTGCTCTGGACAGAAGGTCCCTGCCGAGGCAGCTTGGTACTTGGGGCCCAGAGCTAAGGCGTGGCCCTGCCACCTGCCCGCTCTTGACCAGGCTGGGTCACAAGCTCCCCCATCCCCGCCCCCTCACCAGGGCCAGGTCGCTGTGCTGGCCCTGCTCCTCCACGGGCGTGTGCTGGGACAGGTAGACCAGGTAGGCGCTGATGGTCTGCGGGTCGGTCTCCATGTGGATGGCCTGCAGAGGGGGGCCGTGTGAGCAGGTGCTGGCAGCGGGGATGGCCCCGGCCCTCGCGCGCGGCCCCGCCCCTTAACTCGGCCCCGCCCATCGGTGCCTCGCCCCCGCCCGCACCTGCTGTAGCGCCAGCGCAGTGGTGCTCCTCACGCTCTCGAAGAGCGGCAGCCGGGGCAGGTCCCGCAGCAGCCACTGGTAGCCCTGCAGCGCGTCCGCGTCGCCCGAGTCCTCCTCCAGGGGCGGCTCCTTCTCCTCTCCGTCCCTCAGGCTGCCCTCCGAGAGCACCAGGGACAGGCCCTGCAAGCGGACACGCGGGCTCTGGGGCTGCCGACTCCCTCCTGCCCAGCAGAGACGCCGCGCGCTCAGAGCTGCCACGACGGAGGGCCGGCTGCCTGGGAGTCCGGCGCCAGCGCCCCAGGGAGGCAGCAGAACGGACATGGGGCCGCCCCTGGGGCACTTCGGGCCATCCCCAGGGCGGGAAGGGCCCAGCAGGAAAGGACCCAGTGTCTATCCGCTACTACCGTGCTCTTTTCCTTGATGGTCTCTTACGGTGAAGCCCCGGTGAGAAAAACGGTTGTTTTAACAAAAAGGACAATCGTGCCCGGGGAGCAGAGGGCCCGGCCCCCTCACCTTCATGGCCAGCACCCGGGCGGCCACCTGCGAGGAGCCCAGCCGCCGCAGGAAGTAGTCCAACACCTCACATGTGGTCTGCTCATCGGCCTTGGGGCCCAGCAGCAGGTCCTGCAGGCGGCCCAGCAGCTGCTTCTGTTTCTGCTGCCTCTGTGGGGGTGATGTTAGGGGTCAGGAGAAGGGGTCGGGGTGGGCGTGTGGTCACCCAGGTGGGGGGCGGGGGGTCAGGGCGGGCGTGTGGGCCCTGGGCAGGCACGGACCTGCCGCTTCCTGGCCTTCTGCTCCTTGCTCTCGCCCTCCTCCTCCTCCCCGCCCGAGGCGGGCTCGTCGGCGGCATCATGCAGCAGGAACTCGCAGAGGCACTGGACGGGCAGCACGTCCAAGGAGCCCTCGCTGGACTGCACCAGGTCGGCCAGCCAGGGCATGGACTGCGAGGAAGCCTGGGCGGGCGGCAGTCACACGGCTCTTCCTAGTTAGTCCCGCTGCCGCCCTCCCCCCCGCAACGGCCCTCCACCTGCGGGGACTCCGGAGGCAGCTCTCTGCACCCCGGAGCCATCGCTGAGGGGCCCGGTCTCTGGGCGTGCCCTCCAGCCCATGGTCTCACCTAATGCCAGGGCCCCCAGCGCCTCGGGAAGGGCCCCCCTGCAGCCTCGGGGGCACTCACCTGCCTCTGGATGATGTTGAGGAGGAAGTCGGGGTTCCGGCTACGACACAGCAGGTGCCCAAGGCGCAGGGACTGGTTGAGGCCTTTCACCTGGTCCAGGATGTGAGGGGGAGGCCTCCGAGGCGGCCCTCTGAGAGCGCCAGGCGACACGCACGTGTCAGAGCCGCAAGTGCAGTGCCCTGCCCAGCTGAGAGTGGGGGGGGGCGCCTGCCTGCCTCCCACCTGCAGCCAGCTGCCGTCCTCCCGCAGGGCCCGTGACTCCTCCCCTCTCAGCCTGGCCTCCCACTCGTCCCCACCCCCGCCCGGCTGCCCCACCCCTCACACACTGGGGCTCGAGGCTGGTGAGCTGGGACAGAAGCAGGCTGCTGCTCTCGGTGATGGTCTGTCGGGTGGAGGCCGCGGCCAGGTGCCCCTCGAACGCCAGGATCTCCTGCTTCTCCCGCTGCGAGACCTGCAGCTCCCGGCTGATCATCTCGGCACGGCTCTCCTCGTCCGTCAGGGTGCAGGGCGGGTACGAGTAGTTGCTGGGACCAGGGAACAGGAGCGTGTCGCCGTGCCGCCCCCAGGTGGCGCTCAGGAGTAGGGGTCAGAGCCCACGGCAACGCCCCGCCCAGGCCCGGCTGGAGCCGGCAGACTGTGGAAGGTGTCCGGGCACCACTGGCAACACGGCCACAGTCAGGCCCCAGTGAAGGAGCGGGTGGCCCTCAGACAGCCGGCCACCCTCCTTCCACATGACCGCACGCTGGTGCCTCCAAAACTGGCCAACAGGTGGCAGGGCCCCGGACCCCAGAGTGGCATGTGTGTGGGGGGGCCACGGGAGACCCCGGCCACGGGGCCAGGTGGTCCGGCTCAGGCGCCCAGGCCGGCTCCCACTTTAGAGACACAGGCGCCCTCTGGGGGCCCGACTGCCGGGATCCCCAACACACGTTCTGAACGTGACCGAGCCCCCGCATCCTGGCGGCGAGCGACTCACTTGGTCATCGCCATCTCCATGAGCATCTTCAGCGTGGGGTACTCTTCCCAGGCGGCCAGGCCTAGGGGGCAAGGTGACAGGTGGTGGCGGGACCCCGGCCCGAGCCCCAGCGCCCCCCCCCCCCCCCCACTCACCACCCGGTCCCCAGCCAGACCCGACAGGACGACCAGGAGAGGCGAGGCCTACACAGGCTCAGGGGGTGGGGCCGGGGCGGGGCAGGCGCTCACCAATGTTCTCCGGGTTGAACGCAGCGACGACCAGCAGGAGGGGCCAAGCCTTCCAGTAGAGAGTGGAGATGGCGAGGTTCGGAGGCTGGTACCTGGAACCAAGGTGTCCACAGCTCAGCCTCGGCACCCGAGGTCCGAGAGGCGGACAGGTCCAGACCAGGGCCCCAACAGCCCGACATCCTGTGAAGGGCCACCCGGACACCGCATCTCAGCCGTAAAACGTCTAGAAACGTCCAAGCTACAGGATTTGTGGTGTCTGACGGCTGTTGTGTGTCTGAGGGGAAGGGGATGGGAGCACCACCAGGTGGGAACAGGCTCCTTGGAGGGACGACGCTCTCAGTTTACACAGACCACGGCTGCGGAACCCTGCGGGTGTGCTGAAACCACGCTATCACAACTGCAAGCGAACGACGCACACGGCAAGTGAAAACTGCACCGCGATCAGGTGCTGGGAAACAGTGTGAACGCACTGCCGTCTAGGAGCCAGACATGGTTTCCGAGTTCACACACAGGAACTAAGCATCGAGGTGACATGGGCCAGGGAGAGAACAGGCAGCAGGCAGGGGGGCCCGGGGCCCGGGGCCTCACCCTGGCGGGAGCTGGATATTCTCAGGGTGGTGGTAGGTGCACAGGTTCAGGACGGCATCGATCAGCTGCACTCGCTCCACCTTCAGCACTTCCACGTCTGAAACGCAGGAGCCACACGCGGGTCCCTCGGCGGACGTCCCGCCCGGACTCGGGCCGTGGCCGTCCGAGCGCGAGGACACAGGGGTGGGGCAGGGACGATACAGGCACGGGACGTGCTGCCAAGGAGCCCCGGGGCGCCGGGATGCATCTGCACCGCTGGCGCTCTAGAGTGCAGCACGGCCGGGCTCGGGGACGGGCAAGGCTGCGCCGACACCTGTGGGTGCAGCAGATGCCCCAGGGAGGGCAGGGGGATGGGGAGCCCCCCACGCTGCAGGCTGGCCCAGGCCCACCAGCAGCGAGACCCGTGCTCTAGACGGAGGGCCGCTCTGCGTCAGGCCCCCCCCACGACCCTTCAGAGAGGCGGGGGACAGACACTCCTGCCGGGTTAAATCGTGCAGAGAACACGCGAGTCCAGGTAAGGCCCTGGAGGTCACGGGGAGGGGAGCCGGTGGTGGGAGGCCCTCACCGTCGGCCTGCACGGCCGCAGCCCGCTTCACCAGGTGGTCGGCCAGCTCCATGGCATCGGCAGGGCCCAGCGGGAGCTCCCGTGAGAGCCCGATGACCAGGATGCGCATCAGCGTGTCCTCCAGGATGGGCACCTCTGAGCAGAGGCGGAGGAAGAAGCTGCGGGCAGAGTGGGCAGTGGCAGGCTCGTGAGAGCCCCCCAGGCCTGCAGGGCCCACCTGCCCCCGGGGCAGGGGAAGCACCAGCTCATCTCATCTGGGCAGAGGGAGCACTGCCCACCCTCCCCGTGGTCTCTTGTGCCTCATGCCCGTGTGGACCGGGCCCCGCAGCCCCAAGGAGGACCGTGAGTGGGATCCCGGCCTCGGGGTCTCACAGGCCAGCCTCGCCCCCAAGCCATGCCCCCAGACAGCAGCGGGGCTCGGGCGGATGTGAGGGGAGCACACTGACCCCGTGGTGGGGCCCAAAGTGGCAACAGAGGGGAGCGAGCTGTCAGAAGCTCAGGGAGGGTGACCCGGCTCGGGGACTGGAGGGGCAGACAGAGGACACGTGTGTGCGTGCCTGGACGCGACGGGAGGGGGTGGGGACGGGGACGTCTCGGGCCCCTGCGCAGCCAAGCACCCGGGGGGGCGCAGGGGACTGCAGAGCACCTGGGGGAAGGGCGGCACAGGTGTGGGCACAGGGACGGTGACCCCCAAGACCGCCCGCGGCCTGCCTGGCCTGGGTGCCCGGCCCCGCCCCCACCAGTTGGCCTGCTCACTTGCGGTCACTCTCGGGCGGCCAGTTGTCCCATTTGTAGTAGGTCTCGGGCTGCTCCGTGAAGAGAACCTTATGGAGGCTGCAGGGCGGCAGGGCCATCAGGGAGGGGTCCTGGGCCCCGCCACCTCATCAGTCCCCACGGGCGGGGAAGCCTGTGTGCAGAGGGATGACCCTCCTCCCGGCTCTGCAGTGAGGCCTGGGGAGGCTGGCAGGCGATGGGTCCCTCCCAACAGGGCGCTCCCCACTCCAACCAGACAGGACCCTGCCTCCCTGAGGCCCTGCCAGAAGCTCGGACACCACGAGGTGTTGGCTGCTGCCCACTGGCCCCTCTGGTCTCTGAGAGGCTGGTGCCAGCTCGTGACCTCTCACCCGGGGAGGGGCCCTGTCACTCGTCACCGTGAGCTAGGAGCGCAGCTGGTCGGGAGCAGGGCAGAGCTGGTCGTACCAGTGCACATAGTCCTTGGGGGCGAGCTTGCTAATGGAGGGCACGACGGTGTGCAGCCACCACACGGCGTCCCGCTGGATCGCGGCAATCTGGTTCTGGAAGGAGCGCAGCACCTCGAGATCTGGGGAGGAGGAGATGCTTACGGCGCCTGCACAGCGGCCAGTGGTGGATTCAAGGCCAGGCACACAGAGAAGGCCTGGTGGGTGGCACAAGCATCCTGAGACCTCCGCAGAGGGGCGGGGCGGGGCCGAGACGCTGGAGCAAGGCTCAGCGAGCACCTGACCTGACGGTCCTCCAGGGCTGAGGACACCTCAGGGAAATGAAACCCTGAAATCCCAAGTGTCCTTCCAGCCAATCGCTTAAAGGGCCTTACAACCAACCCTTTCCAGGGTCAATAATGACCCAGAGCAGGCTGACCCAGACACCATTGCCCTGCCCCCCACCCTACCCCCAGCCCAAAGACCCCAGGACACGCACAAGCAGACTGGCAGACGACCCCGGGCTGGGCGCTGTTGCGCTCCGCCTGGACAGAGTGGGAACCAGCAGTTTCAGAAGCTTCTGGGACTCCAGGGTGAGTTGCCTCCTGCCCCACCCCTCCAGGCCCACACTCAGAGCAGAGCCCCCTTCTCCTACCCCAGGCTGCCTCCCCACCAGGAGAGCCCCCGCAGCAGGCAGCCCTCCCCCAGCTCCTCACTCTTCTTCTCTCCTTTGTCCCAGGCGACGCCAGCCTCCTTCACCTGGGCGGTGATGCCAAGCATCATGGACACGGCCAGCACGTCCGTGACGTGCACCACGAAGCGCTCCTGCCGGACAGCTCAGCTCAGCTCAGCAGGCCCACGTCCCTGTCTCCCCCCACCCCCACACGGCCAGCCAGACGGCAGGAGGCTGGGGACCCAGAACCGGCCACAGCAAGGCCAGGTCGGGCCACAGCGAGAGGTTCAGCCCTCAGGACTACCCTCCGGAGAACAGGACCCCCACAGGCTGTCTGCTGACCCGCTTACGTGGCACTTGAGATCCGCCACCCTCGGCCCCAGGTCCTATTCTCCAGAGGCCCTTCCCACCTCCACCTCCTCAAATCTACCCTGAGCAGACTTCCCCGCCCTGGGGGCGCCGGCAGCCTGTGGCGGGGTTCTGCACACCTTGAACTCCATGTCCAGGTACTGCGGCTCCTTGCGCTCCTGCATGAGCCCGAGGCAGAAGGCCTGGAAGTTAATCTCGTGCTTGGTCTGCTTGATGATCTCACGCAACAAAGCCCGTGAGGCCCGCAGGTAGTCGTCCTTGTTGGTCAGTAGGTCCTGGAACACCATGGCCAGGAACTGGGGAGAGAGAGCGGGGAGCTGCCGGCCGCCTGCCCCAGGTCACGCGGCCCTCGCAGCTCTCATCCTCGGGACAACAGGAGGCCGCCCAGGGACCCAGGGACCCCAGGACAAGCCCCGACGGCTGCTGCTGCATGGCCAGGCCCGGCCCCTGGCCCCTGGCAGGGCCTCCTCACACGCGCTCTCCTCCCACGGGGGCTGGGGCGGGGGTCCCAGGGCCCCACCTTGGGTGCCAGCTCGGAGCTGTGCTGGAGCACGGTGTACAGGATCTGCATGTTGTTGGGGTTCCGTGCGTTGGAGAGCTCGTTGAAGATCACGAACTTGATCGTGGTGCCCAGGTTGTCCTTGTGCGCGTTCAGCAGCTCCCTGGGCACGGCCAGGCAGAGAGAGCTGGAGTGGCTGCCACCCACGCCCGGCGGCCGCGCCCCCCACGCCCTGCGCCCCCGCCCCCCGCGCACCTGATGCAGAGCATATAGTGGTTCAGCAGGACCTTGGGCTTGAGGCGGATCTTGATCAGGTGGGAGATGACATCCATGTCCTCGGCGCCGTGCGTGCTGCAGTTCATGCACACGGACATGAGCAGGTCCTGGGCGGGTCGCGTCAGCTGCGGGTGGCGGGGTAGGGGAGACGCGTCAGCCCCACGGCCTCGGGCGCCGGGAGGGCCCCTCCTGCACGTGCTCGTGCGCCCTCACCTTGGGGTTCTGCAGCCACATCTCCAGCTTCTGCACCGTCATCAGCCGCACCTCCTTGTAGCCGCAGGTGGAGGTAAGCAGCCGCAGGAGGTTCCGTGAGACGCTGTCGATGGGCTGCCGGCGGTTGAGCTGGTCGCGCAGCATGTCCAGGACGTACTCCTCCACGCTCTCCGCCAGCTCCTCGTACCTAGGCCAGAGGGGGGACAGCAGCGGGCAGGAAGGCAGACGGGCGGGGGGCTCTCCTGGGGCCGTGCGGGCGGGGGCGCACGGCACACCTACCTGGGCATGAGCTGGCCCTCCTGCTCGGGGCTGAGCTTCTCCTCAGCGATCAGGAGCTCCGTCTGGCTGTCCTCCTCTTCCGTGAGGGACGGGTGTGGGCTGCTCCCTGCAGAAGGAGCACCTCATGGACACCGGCTCCCCTGGCACCACATGCCTGGGCCCCTCCCACGGGGAACCCCAGCCCAGCTGTGGCGGGGGGAGGCCCTCACCAGCACTGAGGTCCCCTCCGCCACGCCCCGCCTCCCCCTGCAGGAGCACACTCTTGGGGGGCATCTTGGTGTTGAAAGCCGTCTGGATGTTGTCCACGAAGGTCCTGCAGTGCGGGCTGTCCACCCAGATCCGCTCCCCTAGGGAGTCTTCAATGTACACCTGCGAGGACGGAGCCAGAGCCTCAGTCTGCCCTCCACTGCATCCCCCTGCGCATGGGCAGGAGCAAGCTGGGAGCCTCCCCAACCTCCCGCTGCCCCTTCACAGCCAGCAGCTCGGGAGAGGAGATGCTCTGGGTTGCCACACTCAGCCCTCGGGGCTCAGATGCCTTTAACCCCCTGGTGGTCCAGTGGTCCGCCCACCCCGATCGCAGCCCTCTGCCTTCACCAGAGTGATCGCCTGGGAGAGGCCGCTCACCTTGACGAAGATCTCGGGCCAGTTCTCGTCCTCCTCGTATGCGGCCATGAGGAGGTTGCAGGCCAGCACAGACACCAGGCTGTTGCCCTTGGCCTTGAAGTTGATGGAGGCGTCCCGCCGCAGGAGGCTGCACAGGGCCTGCGGGAGACGGTGTGGTGGCAGGGAGGCCCAGCTGGATCCACCCGCCCCTCCCCACTTCCCGGCACAGAGGAGGGGACGGTGGCCCTCACCTCGATGACGCCCTCCGTGGCGAAGATGTTGGGCTTCATCTTGGCCAGGTACATGAGACTGAGGTACAGGACGCTGTCCGGCTTGGCCCGCGTCACCTTCAGCTGCCTCACAGCCCCGCACAGCACGCCCTCCAGCCGGTCATCGTTGCCCTCCAGCTCGGCCGCCTCAATCTCGTCCAGCAGCACCGTCGGTGGGACTGGCCAGGGGGACGGCCGGTCAGGCGGGCAGCCCCAAGCGAGACCGCCCCGCGGGGCCCCCAGGCCAGGGGCTGCCTGGGGTGTCCTCCAGAGAGCTGTCCGAGGGCCTGGACCGAAGCCGCAGGGAGGGGGCAGCCGGGCAGCGCAGGGCAGGGGCCGCCCGACCCCAGGAGTGAGCAGGCCCAGGAGGCGCCACGCGGGAGCCCGTCGGGCGCGGCCAAAGCCCTCCTGCTGCACCCACGTGGCTACTCTAGGGCGACCTGGCCTAGGAACGTCTTTTTCTACAAATTGGCCCTTTTTTCTAAGCTTCCGAGCGAGCCGGCAGGGTGCCACCTGTGGCCTCCTCCTCCACCGCGGCCGCTCCCGCGTGGTCTCCTCACGTCTGCCCCTCCGAGGCTGCTCCCCGTGTCTCGGCGAGAGCCCGCTCGGGGCTCCGACTCTCCCCCGGCACAGCTGCCCTCTGCTGTTTCCCTCCTGCTACCTCCTCAGGCGTCCTGGCCCCCACCTTCCTTCTCTGACGGGACTGGAGGCCCCCCTTCCCACCCCCCACCTCTGGGGGTCCCCCAGGGCCAGGCTCGGCTCCACCCACGTCTGCTCTGTCCCTCACTTGCCATCACTCGGACCCATCTGTTCTCTCACTTCCACTGTGATTTCTTCTCTGAACCAAGGAGTTTTTTAGGACTGTGTTTTTAGATACCCAAGTGATGGCAACGCGACGGATTTCTGACTCAAATGCATGGAGGACAGAGGTTGACCGACATTCCCCGAGTGCTTTCCACGTGCCAGAGAGAAAGACAAACAGGCAGGACAGAGGGGTGGAGCTCGGAAGGTCCTGGCTGTGGAGACACTCCAAGTGCCAGACGCCGTGAAGTAGCTGAACTCAGCCTCTTCTGTTTTGCTAAATGTGTTTCATTTGTAATAGGCCTTTCATAACCATACTCCACGTAACCTTCAAATGCACCTTAGCTGGGACTTGTGTGATGATAAAACCAACGCACGGCCAGTGAGGAGAGAGCTGTGGCCTGAGTCAGGACTCGGCCCCTCAAGTGCTCCCGGCGCTGACCCAGCCCAGCCACTTGGGGGGGGGGGGGTCCGAGCCGGGGCTCCGAGGGGGCCACCCCCCAGCGCAGCCCCGGCTGTTCCCCAAGCACAGGTCCCTCCACCGGCACGAAGGCCTCCACGCCACGGCTTCCCTCCTAGCCCCGCGCTGCCAGTCAAAACCCAGCCAGCCTCTCGGGCTCGATCTCCCGCCACAGTCCCCGATGGGCCTCCTCTCCCGCCGTGCTGCCACGTGAGCACCTGCACACTTTAACACCTGGGACTGGGGTGACGTTAAACAGACGCGATCTACAGAAAAACGGGAATGTCACGTGCAGAACTAACAGCTTCTGTGTAAACAGCGGGCTTGTGGATAAGCCTTATACCTGTCTCCAATGCTATCATGATACCTCATCAGCTAAGAGATAAAAAGCAAGCAGGTAAACTCTGTGTTGTTAGGAATTGGGAAGAGGTTTGAGGCAGCACAAACCACCCCATCCTGGGTGGACAGAGTCCTCATGAGACGCACAGCCCCCAAGGACAGCACCTGTCTGTCTGCACTGCCCTGGACTCCCGCGCTCGGAGAAGACTGTCACAGAGGCGGCCTCGGAAAATACACCAGACCAGCAAGGGAACAAGAGAGTGAGTCTGTTCCCTGAGGACAGGAGCAGGCAGCCCTCCAGGAGGGCATCAGGCTCACGCCGGCCCCAGCCCTGGAGCTGGGCCAACAGAAATCCATACAAGGCTTTCCAATGCCAGAGGCCCCTGCATGGCTGTCTGCTCCCCAGAGAGGGCCACAGAGCCGCGCACACAGCAGCAGCCCCTTCGGGCCCCGGATCGAAGCGGGCCACCCTGCCCTGAGTGACATAAGCACCTCACGTCACTGGCAGTCTGAAGCAGAGGTGTGGTGAAGGCGGCCCTAGGAGACATGCTCTAAAAAACAAACTCACAGCTGACTCCTGTTCTCCATTCTCCAAAGAGCCTACACTGCTAAGCCTGGAAGGAGCCTTTCCGAACCGCGGTGCACGGGCGGTGCAGGGGCTGGGGGCGTCCAGAGGCCGTCTGTACCTTCGATCGGGACCACGGACGGCTCTTTAATCGAAGGAGAGATGGCACGCTTCTCTGCGACCGCAGCCTCAGCCAGGCGTCCCAGGGCACTCAGTGGGGGCGTGGAGGAGAGTTTGGGGCGCTTGGTGAGCCCCGGCAGGGCTGAGGCACCCGCCAACGCAGCCGCAGCATCGCGCTTCCGCTCCGAGGGCAGGCCGGAAGGGGCAGGCTTCAGCAGGGTAGAGGCTGTTTTCGACTCAGTGGTCTGACCCTTTGAGCCCAGAGCAATGAAGTCTCCTGGTGGAGGGTGACCTGCAGAGGAACACACACCTTCACACAGCAGCTAGGTGGAAACGGTGTCGGAGAAGAACTCCAACCTCCCACGATTTCCATGGGGATTCAACTACGGTCAGGGGAGGCGAAAAAACGACACCCAGCAAGTCCACAGCAGTGCTGGGACCAGAGAGTGAGCAACAGCGGCCAGTCACACTGGCGCTGACTGCAGACCAGGCCGTTTCCAGCTGATTGGCATCCGTTCCCATCATCCTCAACAAGTTTCTGAAACAAGCATCATTAACCTCACTTTACAGGTTAAGTACCACCAGGCACAGAGAAGTTAAGTAAAGCGCCCGAGGCCACTCAGCTAGGAGGAGCGAAGCGCGGGTTGGCGGCCAGTCTGGCTCCAGCCTGCTGTCAGCCCCTGCGTTTGTGCCGCCCCCTCCACCCCCCAGGGATGCTGTCCATGGCCTCGGACGCGCAGACCAACGAGACGGCCTGGGTCGAGGAGGCGGTGGCGGCGGTCCCAACCCCCCGCCCCGGGACTCCCAGGGCCGCCGGGACCAAGGGCTGCTGTCTGAGACCCCATTCCTGGGAACCGCGTTCGGCTCGGAGAAACAAAGCCGCGACCCGAAGGCGCAGCGCCGCGTGCCGCGAGGGCGCGCACCCGAAGGCTTGGCCGCAGCGCTGGGCCTGCGGACAGCGGTGGGCTTAGCCCGGTTCATCCTGCCCCGGGGCCCTCGCCGCTCCGCGCTGCCGACGCCGCACTGGGGGGAAGACCGGCGCTAGTCAGCAGTCCGCCGCTCGCCCATTCATTCCAATCTGGGACTGGGGCCCGGGGCGAACGCTCCGCCCCGCCGCAGGGAGCAACGCCTGAAGCGGCCGCGCGACCCCGCCTTTCCGCCTCGGATCCCGGGAAGCTCTGTCTCTCCGGCAGAGGCGGCCCAGTCACTTCTAGTGAGATCTATAGGTGCCCATCGCAGCGGCGCCCGGGAACAGCCGCGGCCGCCCCGGAAGCAGAAGTCGTCCTCCGAGCCTGACTTCCGGAACACCTGGAAGCAAAACAGCGAGGGGGCGGGGCAGGAGGGATTAGACGAGCGGGCCCGCGGTGCCTGCAGCGCCCCCTTGCGGCGGGAGGCCGGTGCAGCCTCCTCGGTGAGGCGGGTTCTGTCACTCGCTCCGGCAGGTGCGGCTGCCCTTAGTGAGTGTCAAGCCCAAGGACACGCCGCTCGGAACGGGGGCCTCGGCCTTTTCCCGTGCGTGCTGGGCCTTCAGCGACCTCTCCCACCTGTGGGCCGAAGGGCAGGTGGCGGGGTCCCCTGGGGGCGCCTAGGAGGGAGCCGGGCGGCCGGGAGTGGGCGAAGCCGGCACCGGGCAGGGCCCCGGGGTGCCCGCCTGCGCAGCGGGGCCCGCTCGGTGCTGAGGACGTGGGAGCCAGCCACGCGCCGAGTGAGGGTCCACGTCAGGCGCTCAGCCTCCTCTTCCCGCGGGTCTCCGCGCCGTCCCCACCTCCTAACCAGGGACGAGGGCCGGGTGGACAGCCCGGCTCCACCCGGCCACGTGCAGTGGGCGGACCCCCTTGAAGGCAGAGCGGAGGGTCCCCGCGCGAAGGACGAGGTGACCGTGGGGAGGACGCGGGCGCCACTCACCGACCGAGCGCGTCGGAAAGGCGGCATCGCTGACAAAGGAAACCGGACGTGGGCCGCAGCTGAGAAACGGATTTTATTCAGTAACTGCTGCAGTGGGGGCAGCGCTGAGTTTTGAAAGGCGCAGAGTGGGTGGGCTCAGGTGAAAACCTGCGGATGGTGGTCAGTGTAGACGCCAGCGGCTCTCAGAGTACGGGGTCTGCCCTCCGAGCCCCGGACGGGCCTTCCGAGGATGGTGGTCGGAGAAGGGGTCGCGATCCTGGAGAGGCTCCTGCAGGGGAAGGGGTCCGGGGGGGCGGGTGCTGGCTGCACAGTCAGTCCTCTTGGCAGCCCTGACGTTGCCTGATGGGAACACACACGGAGGCGGGCGTCCTCGGACGTGGCGTCAGGTAGAAGCCCTGCTGGTCTCGGTCACGTCTCTGAGTGAGGGTGTTTGCGCAGAGGTGGTTTCTTGTTGTTTTTTAAAATTAAGTTTGTTTGTGCCTGTGCTGGGTCTTCGTTGCAGTGTGGGCTTCCCTCCAGCTGCGGTGTGTGGGGGCTTCCCTACTCTTTTGGGGTTTTGGGGTGCGAGTGGCTCACTTCAGTGGCTTCTTTTGACAAAGAGCACGGGCTTCTGAGCACAGGGGCTTCAGAAATTGCAGTCCAGAGGCTTAGTTGCTCCACGGGATGGGGGGTCTTCCCAGACCAGGGGCCGAGCCCGTGTCCCCTGCACTGGCACGCGGATTCTTCACTGCACCGCCAGGGAACCCCCTGAGCAGAGATGGCGTGTGGTTCTCACAACCCAGCCCCAGCCCGAGAGGGGCCTTCCCTGACCCCGCCAGCCCCGCCCCTGCTCCCCCGGCCTCTGATGCCCACCTGGGGCAAGATGGGCCGTGGTCACTCTTCCCTCTGCGGTGACAACATCAGTTGCAGTTGGGGTGTTGAGGTTCTAGGCCAAGGGTCCAAAGGCTCCCAGGGGCATCTGCAGGAAGGACTGCTCTCCAGGGACCCTCAGCGCCAGAGAGGCTGACCTTGAGCCCCCTGGACGGGGCCAGGCAAGCCCTAGAAGGTGCCAGGGAGCGGGGGCTGGTCTGCTGAGACCAGGCAGGAGGTCCAAAGGCTCAGCAGAGGCTGCAGGGAGGGCTGGACTCTCTGTTTTGCTCCTTGGAGCTCGTCTGCCCGGATGGTGAAAGATGAAGGGTGGAACAAGCGAGGGACGCCCAGTGAGGACAGAGGTGCCCACCTCCTGAGAGGGAAGACAGGCGGGGAGCCCGGGCTGGAGGGGCGCTGGGGTGGGTGGACAGCCAGGGGTGCGTTTGGGTGGACAGGTCAAGACATGCCCCGTGTGACGGGGTTGGGGATGGGAGGGGGGCTCCAGAGCAGGGGACACATGTACACCTACGGCTGATCCGTGTCGGTGTGTGGCAGATACCGATACAGCAGTGTAATTATCCTTCAATTAAGAATAAATTTAAAAAATTGAAACAAAGAAAGAAAACCTCTCTGCATCAGACTCCCAGCGGCCCGCCCAGTGCTCCCCATCAAGACTGCCCCTGGTGGAGCAGGAGAGGCCCCCTTCTCAAACACCGAGTGGGAGCCGGGCTGCTGCGGACAGTAGGGCTCTAGGAAGACGGCCCAGGGAGCCGTCATGCCAAGGCCAGGTTCCGGCAGAGGCTTTGTCAATGTGGGCCTTCCCCCGGGACTGCCAGCCGCCCCCACACCACGTGAACACACGACCATCCTGGGGGTGTCTGGCGACAGCCTGATTCTGTGAGCTGTGCCCGACCTCTGACCCAGACAGCACTCCGAGGGTCTGACCGCAAATGTGCAGGAATTGCAGCACCAAGCTGATCCTCTCGGAGGCCCCAGGTCCAGCTGCCTGGACCGGTCAGCACAGCCACAGGGCGTCCAGACGACGCACTCGTCAGAAGCTGCTGCGGAAGGACAGGCAGACCTCCTGTGACGGAACAGCCCAATCGGTGGGGAAGGGAAGGAGGCCATCCGTGCGTCAGGAGGCCGGGAGTGACCACGTCTGTGTAATGGTGGAAATGGCCTGGGAAGACGCACACCCAGTGGTCCCCATGACTACGAGCAGGGCCGGGCTGGGGCAGGGGACAGCGGACAAGCTGTCCTCTGTGCTTCGTTTTCACTGATACGTGAATGGCCCTGAAAAGGTTCCCACTTGGGAATGAAGGGCCATGCGCCTGCCCCCTGGGGCTGTCCGGGCTCCTCCCGCGGGGGCCGCCCAGGCCTCCTTTTCTCTCAGTGGATTTAGGGCCCTCCCCAACCCAGCATGACCTCAGCTAGAGAGCGTTCCCTGAATTAGAGCCACAAAGACCCTGTTTCCTGACAAGGTCCACTCTGCGGGTCCGAGGGGGCATGTGTTTTGGGGTCGCCCTCCCGCCCACGGCAGCTGCATTCCGAGGACTCCCGCCTAGTCTGCTGCGCCCCCGGACCCGGTCCGGCTCCCCAGCCTTCTTATCTCTGCGTGCGCCAGGCTCCTGTCTCGGGGCCTCCGCCTGCCTGGGCTCTTCCTGCGTCAGAAACCCCAGGCGCTGCCGTCCTCACCCCAGGACTGTGGCCCGGGCCCCCCGCAGCTCCCTTTGAAGCCCCTGCCACCCCGAAATCCTATCGTTCACCTCCTTCTTTAAGGCCTGCCTCCTCCTGCCTCCCCCCAGCAGCACCTCGCTGGCGTGTCCCCTGCCAGGTGAACGCGGGTGGGGTGAGGGGACCGGGTGGGCAGAGCGAGATCACGAGCAGAGGAGCAGTGATGGGCCAGAGCGGGGTTCAGCCTGGACCGACACGTCGGCTGGACAAGCCCTGGCCTCTGACCCCCGCAACCCCAGGTCATCTGGGTGGCGGCCCCAGAGCCCCAGTGAGAGCCCTCGGCCCCCAGACTCCCGACCTAGCGACCGCGTGGCGGGCACGCGCCTCCGCCAAGCCCCCGCAGTTCTGCAGGAGGCATCTGTGGGTCTCAGGGCCAAGCGGGCCGGGAGGAGGGGGTCAGAGGTGAGAGGCACCTCCCCTGGGGAGGGGGCAGGGCCGCAGCTGCGTGTGGTCTAACGGCTTCCACGCAGGAAGCAGCTGCCCCAGTCTGGGGCCCTGGGCGCCCCCTGAACTGGGCTCCAGCCCCGGGGGGCAGGGTGTCTCCGGCTGAGGTCTCCTCGCCCGGGGCAGGGGTCCCCAGCCCAGCCAGGCCTGGCCCAGTCCGGCACTCATGGTGGGGTTGCTGAGAGATGGGTGCCCCCGCGCGACCGTCAGCTCCTAAATCTGGAAGCTGCCTCATCCGCACTGGTGGCCGGGTCAGCCCTGAGTCAGCGGCCATGGGGACTCTCGGGAATTCCCTCCGCCAATGCCGGGGCTGTCAAGGGGCGCAGGGGCCTGCCGTGGGGTGCGGCTGTGATGAGGCCAGCTGGGGAGTGGGTGCCCTGGGCACCCCCCACCCCCCTACCCCCCGCCTGAAACCTCTCTGGGGGCCGGGGGGCTGGGAAGGTGGAGCGGAAGCCCCAGGGAGGCCGCCTCTGGCCGGAGGTGGGAAGCGCCTTCCAACAATGGTCTGAAAATAGAACAGGCAGCTCCCGAGGAAGCTGACCCGTCGGGGAAGGGGTGGGAGAAGGAAGGCTGCCTGGCCCGGAGGGGCCCCAGGCCTCAGTTTCTCCTCCGGCACCGCGCGGGTGTGGGGACGTTCAGCTGAAGAATCAGGCCTGGGGGACAGCCCCCCACGGGAGCACCTGAGGGCACACTTCCCACCAGGGTGGGGAAACAGACAGGGGTCCCGTGTCGGCCGGCACCCCCTCCCGCGCAGCGAGGGCTGGCACCCACCCACCCCAGCACCCAGGACCAGGCTCAGTGCCTCTGGGGACAGGACTGAGCCCGGGCCCTCCTCCAGTGGAAACGCCAACCCACTTATGACACGCTGCTAGCCTGCGAGGCGGCGGGAAGCAAGTGTCAGCCACAGAGATCAGGGCGGGAGGAGCCGGGTGCCCCAGAACGGGGGGCAGGGGGCGGGGGGCTGGACCCTTCTGCCTGCGGAACCCTGGGGCCCCAGGGAACACTGCTGGGGCAAGTGGACTAGGCAGCAGGGACCCCAGGCCCAGCCC